TCGGCTCCAAAATCCGGGAGCTCTTGGTGTTACCCATTTATGCCAACCTGCCTTCTGACATGCAGGCTCGTATCTTCCAGCCCACACCTCCTGGGGCACGAAAGGTCAGTTGGAGAAACCCACATTCTTCACCCCTATAGTTCACACAACTAGTAGTGAAAAAGAGAGTATGTGCCTGCCCTATGCAAGATATGTCCTGGGCCCTGCTGCAGCCACGAGGCTCAGTAGTAGTCAGTCCCTCGCCTCCAGAGCTGGGGAGAGGATGAATTCAGCATGAACTGAGACACAGCCAAATACGTGACTGGGAAAGTCAGCACTGTGGAGGCGCAGAGGAGAAGGGAAGTCCTTGGTGTGCCAGAAGGTGGGATTTGATCTGGATCTTTAAGAAAAAAGGTAGGGAATTCCAGAGCAAGGCCTAAGGTATGTTTGAGGTCAGAGTGTAATCTAGAAGGTTGAGGGGATGGTCCACATGGTGAAAACAACTCTGGACTGAGATTAGGGAGGGCCTTTGATAGCAGTTGGAAGTGTTTGGACTTTAGACGATTGGGTGGCAATCAAAGGGTTTTGAGCAAAGATGAAACTTCCATTCAACAAATATTTAACGAGCCCCTCCCACATGCCAGGTACTGTTCTAGGGAATGAAGATACAATGATGAACAGAGCAAAGTCCCTAGCTTCACAGAGTGTACAGTCTAACGTAAGTTAGGAGACAGTGGACACGTAAATACACAATGCTGATTTGTGACCAGTGCCATGGAGAGATACAGTGCCACATGGGGAGATGGAGACTGACCCCAGGGGAGTGGGAGTGCGGAATGGCAGGAAGGTATTTTCCTTGGCGTCTAGGGAAGGCCTCTCCTTCTCCAGTAAGGTGAAAGGGAAGCTGAGGCCTGAACCCAGTGAGGGAGGGAGCCAGGCTGATATCTGGGAGGTGAGTGTGTCCAGTAGAGGGGACAGCTCATACCAAGGACCCGAGGGAGGAGAGTGCTCTACCCAGCCAGGGAGCAGCAGTGTGCAGGAGTGGAGCGAGGGAGCCCATAATGCTCGGAGGTGAGGGCAGAAAGGTAGCCAGGGCTAGAGGACTCAGGGCCTGAAGGGGCTGGAATATAATTCTCAAGGAGGACGGGAAGCCACTGATGGATGGGGTTAGTGATGTGACAGGTTTACATTTTTAAAGGGCCATCTGGATGCCAGAATGATGCCAGGTAAGCAGGGCCAGGAGTAGAGGCGGTGAGACACATGAGGAGGCTCTTGCAGCAAGTCCTGGATGAGGATGCGCGTGCAAGTGCTGGTGGGAAAGATGGAGGCAGGGACCTGGACCCCCTCTCCCATCTCTGAAAACAGTTCTAACCCTTCTTCTCCCATTTCCTTTCCACATTATGTCCCTGTTCATCCCTACTCTCCCTCGCTCCTGCCTGGCCTTGTCCCCCTCTCCTGACTTTAGACGCGAATCCCCTCAGCTCCTGTCCTTTATCTGCAGCTGCTTCTCTACTCGAATCTTCCAGGATGGATTTTCTAGGTCACGCGGTGGGTGGGGTCTCCGGGTGACTCTGCACCCTCTCACTCAGGTGGTTGTGGCAACAAACATCGCCGAGACGTCACTCACCATCGAAGGCATCATTTATGTGCTGGATCCAGGGTTCTGTAAGCAGAAGAGCTACAACCCTCGCACGGGCATGGAATCCCTCACTATCACGCCGTGCAGCAAGGTCAGCCTGACTGGGCTCCAGCAGGGTCTCCATGGGGAAGGTTCAACTCAGAAGCCTGTGGGAGCTTCTTAGAGGACAGGGAATAAGCAGCCTACATCCTCTCAGATTTCTTACATCAGTATTGCTCTTTCCCTCTTCCCTCTCCAATTGTCAGCAGGCCTGCCTCTCCTTCCTTTCCAGGCCTCAGCCAATCAGCGGGCTGGCCGGGCCGGTCGGGTGGCTGCCGGCAAGTGCTTCCGCCTGTATACTGCCTGGGCCTATCAGCACGAGCTGGAGGAAACCACCGTGCCGGAGATCCAGAGGACCAGCCTGGGCAATGTTGTGTTGCTGCTCAAGAGCTTAGGTTATTTGGGGTCCCCCAGTCCTCCTGAGAGAGGAGGGTCGTGGGGCTAGAGTCACTGATCCCTGCAGAGAAACTGTTCTAGCCCCTCACATCTTTCCTCAGGGATCCATGACCTAATGCACTTTGATTTCCTGGACCCTCCACCGTATGAGACCCTACTGTTGGCTTTGGAGCAGCTGTATGCTCTGGGAGCCCTCAACCACCTTGGGGAGCTCACCACGGTGAGGTGGGAGGGCAGCATGGGCCGGGGCAGGATGAAGGGGTTGGGGTGACCTCTTGAGTGGTGGAGGGACACCTGAGGGAGGACTGGCCTCAACTCTTTTTCCTCTCCTTAGTCTGGCCGAAAGATGGCAGAGCTACCGGTGGACCCCATGTTATCTAAAATGATCTTGGCCTCTGAGAAGTAAGCACCACACCGCACCCCCACCCCTGCCCCCTGGGCCGGGCCCCCGGCACACCAGCTGGATATGGTGCCGTCTTTGTTACCTTGCTCTTTTTCTTTTTCTCCTTCCTGTATCATTCTTTAACAAATAAGTTATTAGAAAACTCTTAACTGCCCCTTTTGAGGCTCCAAAGGGGCAGTAAGACACTTAACCAAATGAGTAAGATTGACAGACAAAATTTGGGGGCATGAATGGATGTGGAAGACTTAGCACCTGTGAGGAGTGCTGTGTGGACTGGTTTGGGGACTTTCTCCTTCCTAAGGTTTGGGGCTCTTAACATTTAGACGTAGTTGTGGAGGGACCACCTTTAAGTGCCATTCCGCTGCCGTAGTTGAGGGCAGAGGTCATTACATGAACCTGAAGTGCCGTCTTTCCCTGATGCACATGATACACCCCTTCCTCCTGCAGAAATCCTTCCTACCCTCGGAAGTCCCCAGCGCTTTCCTGCCCCCACCTCCACGGATAACCCACCTCCTCGACACCCACCCGTACTGCCATCGCCACCACCAGAATCTGTCCGCTCTGATTTGTAGCCATTGTCCCAGCGGCAGTCTCCGTGTGAGGACACACCCACACAGCGATCACTTTTCCCCTTCCCGCGTGTCTGTTCCTGTGTGTCTTCCTTGGAGCCCTCACGCGTTGCCCTTCCTGCTCCAGGTACAGCTGTTCTGAAGAGATCCTGACGGTGGCTGCCATGCTTTGTGTGAACAGCTCCATCTTCTACCGGCCCAAGGACAAGCTTGTCCATGCCGACAACGCCCGGGTCAACTTCTTCCTCCCTGGTGGAGACCACCTGGTTCTGCTGAACGTTTATACGCAGGTCACGGGGCTCGGGTGACGGGAGGGACAGAGGCCTGGGGGAGCTCTGTTTCTCTGTACACTAACCTGCCCCTTTTTTTGTAACCATCTTCCCAGTGGGCTGAGAGTGGTTACTCTTCCCAGTGGTGCTATGAGAACTTTGTGCAGTTCCGATCGATGCGCCGAGCCCGGGATGTGCGGGAACAGCTGGAGGGGCTCTTGGAGCGTGTGGAAGTTGGTCTCAGCTCTTGCCAGGGGGACTATATCCGTGTCCGCAAGGTCAGCGCTTGCCTGGTCTCCCTGTCGCCCACACCCCCTCCGCCTGCAGAGCAAAGCTGCTCTGGGGGCCTGCAGCAGTCCCTCCAGCCTGAGGGTGTGCCCTGTTCCCCTGTGGAAGGTGTGCTCTTCTGGGCTGTCTTCCCACTGAGGAACTTCCCATTGAGAAGGAACCCCGCTGAGGAGTTCCTTCTCAATGGCTTCTTCATGTATTCCTTACCTATCTGGTTCTCCAGAAGCCTGAACTAAAAAGGTAGTGAGTGTCAGGGTCGCCAGGTGTGTGGCTTTCCAGGTGACTTGTCTTTCCTGCCCGCCCCTCAGGCCATCACCGCTGGCTACTTCTACCACACGGCCCGGCTGACCCGGAGCGGCTACCGCACAGTCAAACAGCGGCAGACGGTGTTCATTCACCCCAACTCTTCCCTCTTCGAGGAACAGCCACGCTGGCTGCTCTACCACGAACTTGTCTTGACCACCAAGGAGTTCATGAGACAGGTGAGGGGACCTTCCCCTGCCCAGGACGGTGAAGATGGGGGGCGGCGATCCTAGCAAGCTAAAAACCCAGGTTCAAGTTGCTGAGACCAGTAAAGAAACAGGCACACACACTGGTGTAAGGTAGGATGAAATAGAAAGGCATTGTGTCTTGACAGCTATGTCAGCATCTGCTAAGACTGAAGAACTACATATTCATTCAGTGCATATTTGAATGCCTATTATCCTGGTGTTTCAGATGCTGGGGTGAGAATTGGTGAACAAAGCAGATGGGATCTCTGTCCTGAGTGTACTTTACAGTCTTTATGATCAGGTTTTTTAGGGATAGTTTACGGGGGATTCTGAATGACGTGTAGAGGTATGTCTGCCCTTGGGGTATATAGTAGTAGAGCCTGACACCTTTCCCCTAGCCCTGTAGTCAAAGGTGGAAGAAAGAAACTCTTTTGATCACACATACATTAGAGTCTAGGTTGGAAAAAGGGGAATCCTACTGATTTTTTCTCTCCTTTTGTAGGTATTGGAGATTGAGAGCAGTTGGCTTCTGGAGGTGGCTCCCCACTATTATAAGGCCAAGGAGCTAGAAGATCCCCATTCTAAGAAAATGCCAAAAAAAACAGGCAAGACACGAGAAGAACTAGGGTAAAGGGGAGGGGACACCAACAGAACCCAACACCAGCTCCTTTTCCTTCTGTAACATTATTTAATATCTATTTTTGGAATAAAGCTTGTGGGAACTTTTTTATTTATTTTTTAAAGATTTTATTTATTTGAGAGAGAGAAATGGAGCGAAAGAATTATCATTTTAAGTAGGCTCCGTGCCCAGCATGGGGCTTGAACTCATGACCCCAAGGTCAAGAGTCGTTTGCTCTACTGACTGAGCCAGCCAGGTGCCCCAAGCTTGTGGGAACTTTTGAGATGCAGAGAAGGTGACATGGAAATTCTCATATATTCACTTGGACTTTATTATTTACAAGTTAAATTACACAGCAGCTTTACACAGCATGAGATGGCAAAAAAAAGGAGAATAAAGAGGGGAGGAAGCTGGCTTCTGAGATTCCAGGCCTCCACCTCCACCTCTTCCTCTTGTGCGTATATAGCAAAGTCTTCAGTGCTGCCTCCAACCCCAGTTCCCGGATCAGGTCTTGGAACACAAGTGTAAGTTGGGTTCTGGCTCTGACAGTCCCAGAGCCACCAGGGCTCCCACTAGCAGCTTCTTCACAGGCGTTGGGGCCGAGTGTGAAGGCATCAGCTGCAGGGAGAGAGGTTAATGCCAGTTGGTGGGATGTTTTACACCTTCACCCCATCCCCACCCAGCCTAAGGACTCACTCTGTCTAGGCGATGGCGACAAATGAGGCCGCTGGAATTCAGGTAGAAGGTGGAATAGGCATCATAGGTCCTGGTGAAGGGAAAAAGAGAAGCTTACTGAGGGAGGTGACTCGTCCCAAAGTTTAATTCAAGCATTTGTTTAAGCCAGTAGTTCCTAAATTTTGCTGCGTATCAGATCACCTGGAGAACTCCAAAAACTCCTGATGCCCAGGTTGTACCCTGTCCCACTTAAATCAGAACGTCTAGCACGAATATTTTTTAAAGATCCTTAGATGATTCCACCATGCAGCAAAGTCTGAGAATCACTGGTTTGGGCTGAGCCTAACAATTTCCTGGGATTCTATTCTATGCCAGAAATTTACCAAATACTCTACCTAAGGTTGCGAGGCTCAACTTAGTAGCCAGGAATTTTCATTTGTTCACTAAACACTTGAATGACTAGCATGTGCCACATAATGTACAAAAAGAAACTGAGTCTAGAGGTTTCCTAACACCCTCAAAGTCCCCGATTTGTGTTACGTTAAAATAGAGAAAATCCCTGCCCTCAAGGATCCTGCAGTCAAGTCAGGGTAGATCAAGGATTGTCTGGAAGACTACTAGCCCAGAGTCCTGAAGGTAGGATTAGGAAACCGGATCTTTTCTCCCTTCTCTTACCGATAAAGCTCTTCCTTGTCACGCTTGTAGAAACGCAGAAAGAGCATGTGGAGGGGCAGTCCCACAAGCCGCCAGCGGGCTTGCAGGGTCCAATTCTCTGGGTGGCGGGTCAGCTGTAGAACCTCCAACCGAAGCTGTGCAAAATAGTTCCAGGCCAGGAAGCGGCAGAGGGTCAGTGACAGAATGTACCATGTCCGGCCCCTGCGAAGAAGGGATGGGAAAGATCGCTCATGATGGCATAATCAGAAAACCAAACTGGCCTCTGTCTGGGGAACGGGAAACAGTTGCGAGAAGTGGCAGGACCTTCTCTGGTAAATGGAAAAGATCAAGTAGAAAGCACGCGGTGCTTTTTCTCCCCAAGGCCCTACCCGTGCCTGGATTCTCACTTGGTACGGATGTTCAGGATCTCATTGATGAATTCCACATCCGATGAGTAGAGAGTATAGTCGTGGGAGTGAAGGAAGAGATTGGGAAGCTACGTGGAAGAAGAAGGCATCAGCCGAGGAGGAAAGAAAAGATGATCCTACTTCTCAGTTTTCTCTTTTTGATGCTTCCTTACTCCCCTCTGAGTAAAAAGTCACATCATCGCATGTTTAACTTCCCTTAAATCCAAACTGAAGAACATCTTTTCCTTGGGAATACACATGCCTGCCTTGTTAATTCCAAGAAAATCCAGTTGACTAACCCTCTACTTCCAAGTATTACCTACATCCCTTCTCACTGCAGATGAAAGCCACTTTCAAGCTGACTTACCTCTTGTCTCAGTCTCTCATACATGACAGCCAGGTGTTCCTCCATACTCGGATCTCCTGGTGGAGTGGCAGGGGAAGGGCGACAGGTCCCAGGGGCTTGGAAAGGTATCAAAGCCCCAGGACAGGGGCAGGGAGGTCCCTCAAATAGGCTCCTAAGCCCATCCAGGCAGCCGCTATGCAGCTCAGGTCCTGGCCCCTCCTCCCCCTTTCCTGGAGGGAGAACCACCCATGGTGAGCTGAGGGCCTGGATCTGAGGGAGAGGTAGTGGGGGAGCTCGAGGCAGCAGCCAGATGGGAGGGGGTGGGGGAGACCAGAGAAGAGAAGATGGAGAAGTGGTTGTTGTGGAGGGGGGCCAAAGGGGTGGGAATGGTAGAGCCCGTGGAGAAAGCTGGTCCTAAGGAGGAAGAATAAAAGGGAAAAATATAAGAATCTAGCTGCCTGATGCCCCCTCATCTAAACTCTGTTCAGTAATATGCTTCCAATCCCACCTGCTCCTCCTGGGAGGAGGAATTTGGGATGAATTCATCTCCATCTCTACTGAAAACAGGAGGAAACAGGTACAAGTACTTACCCAGAAACGTTAGCTAGTAAATACATTTACATTTGTTTAAGATCCCAACACTGTTTGCGGGCAGTTACCTCTCTTACAGAAAGAATCCTAGTATTTTGAAAAATGAACCAAGGAACGGAGCAACAGATTTTAGTGTACTGTGGATGAAATGATGTAGCCCTCAACAAAACTCCACCATTAAGTGTGTGATAGAAAAAAACATCCAACTGTAAGGAGAAGACATTTCTCCTAGCTCTGATTACACTGTGACACCTTAGGCACTTTCATTCCCTATGCCTGTCTCTTATAAATGTCCTCTTATAAACGAGCACGATGAAGCCACACTGAATTGTTTTGAGAACCATATGACATAATAAATGTAAATAAAACTTCACCATCTGTAAGTTGTATGCAAATGTAAGCGACTATCATTTCGGGCTCCTCTAACGACACAAACAAGCCCAGGAGGCCGTGAAAGGTTGGGCTTCATTCCTCTGGTTTACCGACGTTGAAAGTGCGACGGGCGGGAGGTCACCCAAAGTCAGGCCTAGCCCGAGTCCCTCCGCTCTCAGGGAGCCCCTGGGGAGCCGGGGGGGGGTCTCACTTCCGGGAAGGCTGGCTGGCCCTGCGGGTACCTCGGTCCCCGAAGCGCCGTCTCCGCCGGGGGCGTGGCCATTTTGCCCGGCCCGGCGCAGGGGCCCGAACCGGATCCAACCAGGCCGGCCTTCCCGCCCTGACCGCTATGCCGGTGTAAGATGCGCCGGCTGCAGACGGCGGCCCGCAGGTCTGTTTGGTCGGGACCTCGGAATGCCGGGGCGGCTCCGCGGCCAGGCTGCGAACCTCTCCGCCCTCTGTCCTTCAAATCACCTCCAGGCACAGATAACCGCGGAAACGCCGGCGAAATGCGGCCGCGCCCCGCCGTCCCTGCTTCAACCCCGCCTGCACGCCCTAGACCCGGGAGAACATCCCGCGCACTCCACGCCGCGCTACGCAGTCCTGAAGTCCCCGCGACCCCTCGCCCCTCCACGCACCGCCCTGCATAGGTGAGAAGGGGCGGTAGGACGCCACTGCGCCTGCGCCTAGGGGCGCGCGCTCCGCCCCACACGCCGGCTCTGAGGAGGGTCTCTCCCCGCCCCCTCTCCTCCCTTCCCGTTTCCCCTCTGCTCTCACCTGGGGGCGAGCCTGGTATGTGCGGAGGCAGGGGCCGAGACGCCGGGCCGCCCCTCGACTGGGCTGGTACATGATCTAACGGGAGCGGAGACAGCGCCTCCAGTGTCCGGCCTCTGGCCTCCTCACAGGGGAGAGCGCGCCCCAGAGCCGGCTTCTTGAAGGGGAAAGGGGGGGGTGGGGGTTGAAGGGGCTGAAGGGAGGGAAACAGAGATGTTGCGCGCTTGCGCACTGCAGCGGGTTCCAGGGAGGCAGTGAGGCACTTGTCTGCAGTGAGTGCGCCTGCGTTTGCCGGCCCTCGAGGCCGTCTCAGAGCGCTTGCGCAGTAAATTAGGTCCTGGCGATGGGGGGCGCCGCGTCACCCGTGGCGCTTGCGCAAAAACCTGGGAGAAGATGGGCCTGAACCAGGTACAGCGAAGAGCGAGGGGTGGGGTCGAAATAATAACAATCAACTTCCAGTAGCTCTCGTGATAAAAATAAATACTTTTATTACTCAGGTTAAAAATAAAATACAAGTGACTTGGCATTGTTAAAGCCTGTTGAATTAATGAATGAATGCATGAATACATCCATTATGAGGGCGGGCTTTGGCTACCTCCTGTAGTGAGAATACTGACTTCGAAGATGTGGGGTGGGGGGCGGTTTGCGGTCACCAAGGCCTGGTGCTGCGACGGTCCTGCAAGTTTCGAATGAACCTGGCGTTGAATATGTCCCCACCCATTGTCCAGGCCTGGGCTGGTAGGGCCTGGGCCTGTGGGGGAACCGTGTGCATGTGTTCCTCCCCAGACCCAGCCTGTGACAAGACCTGCTCCTCGCTGGCAGACCTGGTAGGTGGGAGGGAGATGGAGAGTGGGTTATAGGGATATTAAAGTGGCAATTAAGAGCAGAGGCTCTTCAAGGTCTGCCTGGCCCTGATGTAGAGTAGGACATATGATGGCGTATGAGGCTGAAACCATTAGTGCTACGTCCAAATTTGAAACCCCTCAGTACCAAAGGTAAGCACGAGTTGAGCCTATGGGGAAAGAGGGTTTCAGGATATTAGGATGTTAGGCAGAACAGTTTGTGGGAGGAGCTGAAGTTTAGAGGAGAAAGGAGCTGAGAGTGATGTTAGGAACAGGAGTCAGAGGTGGTGGGAGGCTGGTGGAGGAGGGGCTCAGACCTCACCTATTCTCTGTTTCCTGCTCCCCCTGCTTCGATTCTTGGTTGCCTATGGAAACACCAGGCATGTGCATGGGAAGGCTGGAGTAGGTAGTGAATGTGGCCTACCCGATTTGAGGGTAAGGAGGGATGAATACTTACCTGTATTGGGGGAGGAGGAATTCAGCCCCCCATGGCGGCTGTAGCAGCAGCTTTGGGCTACCAGACCCGGGGGAGCCCCCCTGTAGAAGAAATGGGAGATGATGGGGAACATAGGAAGAAAGATGAGTGGGTATGGAGGAATCAGAGGAGAGGAATGAAAGGAATAGTACAGGAAAAAGAGAAGGGTAATTAATTCCTATGGGGTTTTAAACTAAGGTGTGCCTCAGAAAAGGGGAGAGAGCTCATTTTAATACCCCAAGATTTTCTGGAGCAGTTCTGGTTTGTTGCTGTTAAGGCCTAATGTGTTAAAAGTAAGGCTAGGGGCGCCTGGGTGGCTCAGTTGGTTAAGCGACTGCCTTCAGCTCAGGTCATGATCTCAGGGTCCTGGGATCAAGCCCCGCATGGGGCTCCCCGCTCAGCGGGAAGCCTGCTTCTCCCTCTGACCCTCCCCCTGCTTGTGTTCCCTCTCTCGCTCTCTCTCTGTCAATTAAATAAATAAATAAAATCTTTAAAAAAAAAAAAAAGTAAGGCTAAATGTGATCCAAGCTATGCCAGAAAACCAGACTCAGGCAAAAAAATTTGTTGGAGCAGGTGCCCTGGTGTTTGGCTTAGAAAACATGGTTACTTTAATTATAGGATACATCAGACCAGAGGGAAATAGGGAGTGACAAGGCTGAATTCAGGAGGAAAAGGAACTGTCTTGAGAGAGGTCCAAGGGTGGGGGAGAGGGCAAGAAATCAGAATGGGAAGAGGAATCCAGGGAAGAGTCAGGAGGCAATGAGTGGATCCCAGAGATTTTGGTAAATCTTGACATTTCAGCAATGGCTGGCCTATGCTAAAGGGCAGAAGTCACCGGGAAAAGCTGGAGTTTCTGGAGGGAATGGGGGAGTAGATCTAGAAGCCTATACAGAGGGATCCAGTGACTGACAGGAGACAGAATCCGCAGAAGATCCAGCAGATCACAAAGGTAAGGAAGATCAGAGGACCAGGGATCCCAGGGAAAAAAATCAGGTGACACACAAACGAGGCTGAGACCTAAAGTTTGGGGTTTTTTTGATTTTTTTTTTTCATTGAAAATGTCCATTTAAAAAACACAAAAGAATGCACACTTTATTCAGACAACACTGAAAAGGAGAAGGAAAAGGAGTTGGGAGAGAGGGAGATCCTGCTCCCAAGTACTGGGATGGGGGAACACAGTGGGGGTACCTGATCTACCACCACACATTCAGAGTAGCGGGGGGAGATGGTCCATACCCTGGGTATGGAGCAGGGAGGGTTCTTGCTATGGAGGAAGGCCAGAGGAAGAGTTCCCCTATCACCTCGAGACAATCTCACTAGACTGGAATATATCATCACCTAGCTACTGGGGCAGGGTGTATGCGAGAGGGGATCCCAGAAGCTAACAGATACTTGAGACTCAGGGCTTGTCTTCTGAAACATGGCTAAAAGTGATCCCAGGATACTCAGTGGGATCTACTGCCAAGAAACAAACTCCCTCACAGAATCTGGATCTGGGGGAAGTGGTGGTATCTTTAGAAGTGTGGGGAATCTTGAGAGCCTCAAAGCAGACATCAGCCTAGGGGTTCCTGGACACATACACAAAACATGGGGAGATTAAAAGTTTGGCAATGTTGAGTCGATCCCTTTGGGGACCCTGTCCTTTATCACTGAACTGCTCTGAAGCAAAGCTCGTTGGCTGGCTTCAGCATGCTGAGAAGATAAGTGTGGTAGGCAGCACAAAATAGTATTTGAGCCACCAGTAACACTGTAGAAGGACTATGGGATTTACTCCATGGACAAGACTCCTTAAAAGGTTTCCCTGGCATAGGAGGCCCTTGGACCTTCCTAAGCTGTTCTAGATTCTAATAGCAAGCAAGAGTGTGCTTCTCTGGATAATGAGTATGAGCCACCCAACCAAGGGATCTGGCAGCGAATCAGGCTATCTTGTGGGAGTGTTCAGAGCCCACTTAGGAAAGAAGGCGTGCTTTCTACAGTAAGAAAAGCTAAAAAGTATTAGGCCATCTGGGACCCTGACAACACCTTTGCCCAAGAAAGAGGAAGAGGGAATCCTACGAGCTGTCAGGTTCCGCTGGAACCTGGGGACTACAATGGAAAAGTGGACCTGGGGTTCTCAGGGAGAAGGGGCTCTGCCTACCCCAGGTCTCCCAGGGAAGGAAGGGGGGGGTAACTATCTGTCAGTATCGACTCTCATCAGAACGGGGAAGGGAGCTGTGGAAGGATGTTATGGACAGGAGAAAGGGAAAGGGAAAATGGGGGAGAGAGAAAAACAGAAAGAGAAGTCAGAGGTGAAGAGAAAGCTAGGGAGAGAAATCAAGGAGATACCCACTCCATTTGCTGGGATGGGTTCCTGCTATACAAAGCACTAACATGAGGCCAGTGGCTCCCCAAACTGTCAGAAACATTGCATCTTCCCAGTAAGCATTAAACCAAGAGTTCCCCAATATGAGAGACTCAGTTCCCTCCAACCCAATGGATCTGTTATTCCTATCCTTTCTCCCATCTCTCACTTTAAAAACTAGAGTTCCTAGGGGCGCCTGGGTGGCTCAGTTGGTTAAGCGACTGCCTTTGGCTCAGGTCATGATCCTGGAGTCCCGGCATCGAGTCCCACATCGGGCTCCCTGCTCAGCGGGGAGTCTGCTTCTCCCTCTGACCCTCTTCCCTCTCGTGCTATCTCTCATTCTCTCTCAAATAAATAAATAAAATCTTTAAAAAAAAACAAAAACAAAACTAGAGTCCCTAGACTCCATATAAAGTACTATTCTACTCCTTCACGTAACTTCTTTCTAGACTGCTCCCACAAATCTGGTCCAATATATTCTTCTCAAAAGGTGTCAGGACTCTCCAATCCCCGTCCTATTGCTTCTCACCTCTGGCAGATTCAAACTGCCCTTTGCCATTGCTAACACCCTCTTTGACAGTTCTGAGGCTCCCTAACCCTCCAATTCCTATTACCTGGTGCGCCGACGTTGGGCTGGGCTGCCCCCAGGGTCGGTAGCAAGCAGAAGGCGGGCGGTAGGGTGTGGGGGGCAGAGGCGCAGGGAACGCAGCAACTCCTGCTCTGGCACAAAGGGGCGGAGGGGACCCCGTTCTGGTGAGTTTCCCAGGCTGCTGGAGCGGGGGGGTGGATGGGCTGGAGGTGTAGCACGGCGAGGGGCCCTGTTTAGGGGCCATGGAGGTTCCACAGCTACCTTCAGAACTGGCAAGAGGGAAAATACACAGCAAGATGGAGAAAGAAGAAAAAGGAGAAGAGAGTGATGACAGGAAAGATTTGGGTAGAAAAAAGAGAAATCAGAGCCTTTAGAGAGAACTACTCCTTGTCCTGGGTTAATGCCCCCAAGCCCAGCCACCCTACCCCAGTCTTACATTCTCGGTCACTAGAGGAATATGGCTTAATGTCTCCCTCTGCTCTCTTGGGTGGCAGCTTTCTTGCTGGAGCTGACAGTGGACAGGACACAGACAAGGTAAGCATTAGAAGATATACTGTGCACCCCTCCTCCCAGCTACTACCCCCTTGACCCCAAACCTCTGCTCCCTGACACCACAGTTCCTCCTGGGGAAGGAGAGAGTTCAGTTCAGCTCCATCGCAGAAGAAGCCCTGTGGCAATGCTTTCACACCAAGAGGGAATTCAGGGGAAATGCTGGAGCACTTTTGAGGGGAGCCAGAAGGAGCAGGCCAAATGCAGAGTTGGGGGAAAAGTTCTAGGGGAGACTCGGGCCTGGGAGATGCAGGAGAAAGGCGGCTAAGGGAGGCAAGCTCTTACTGTCAGTGGGTGCTGTCAGGCCCCCCTGGGATTCTGGGGCAGTGGAATGGTCCCAGCCAGGCCCTCTAGATGAGATGGACAAAGTCCTTGGTTAATTAGGAATTGCTTTGGAGAGATCAGGGGAGGTTAGGGTAGGGCAGAACCTCTCCTTCTAGGGCAAGATTGAAGCTTTATTAGGAAAAACAAAGTATGAGGAGAAAACAAAGACATTTGGAGTTAGCAGAGTAAATGGGAGGCTAACATACTACTCAAAGCTCTGCTTCCCATGCCCTCGCTTTTCTATTTGCTCCCTCCCTTTCCCTCTCAAGAGGTTCTCTACTGTGTATGGCAAAGGAGAGATTTCTCAGCAAATCCACTTAAGCTTTATCCATGGTCCCCTCCCCTGTGGGCTTGGGCCCTCACCGCCCTTGGTGGCCCTCACTCCCTCTCACAGCCTGTAGTCCGCAGGAGCTGGATGGGTGAGGCCGTGGCAAGCAAAGCGAGTCATGGATATGAATTGCTTCCCATGCCTGACACTGGTCAAAGCTAGTAAATGGTAACAGATTGTTCTCTGGGTAGTGGTTACTCCCATTCCTGGCCACGGAGGAGGGGAGAGCTAGCCACAAAGCCAGCTAGCTCAGCAAGAGGGCACTTCTGTGCAAGCTGTGGGAGGCAGTGAGGAAGGAGGAGTGGGGCTCACACTGGCAGGGAATATGTGTGTTTGAGGATGGAATGGGGAGCTTGGGCAGCATTTCAGTACCTCCTAGATTTGGTTTCTCCAGATCGATTTCATTATTTGGTGGGAAATATTACAAAATCTGAGCATTATTTTCTAAAACTCGTATTTAAACTTTGGACCATTCTTGTCACTGTTCTATGACTGGAAATGGAAGGGCTGACCGCACTTGTCTGTCCCTTGACTGACAGAAACCTGAGGGGTCTGCAAAGGAAGGTGACCCTGGCCTATTTTGATGGGCCTGAAGTGACAAGAGACCGCATCAATATCAATCACCAAACAGGTCCCAATGAGCTCACTTAGTTAAAAGTTCTGACAAGCGTAAGATGTACTAAGCTCATAAGGGCAAAAGCAGATGGGTAACAACTGCTGGAGACTTGGGCTGCTTGAGAATTCTCCCAAATTGCCCACAATTGCACTGTGCCCCCTGTGGCCTCCAGAAGAACTAGCCACCATGGCCTACAGTTCCGCCCATTCACTGCAGCTTTACCAGCAGGTGTAGGATCGACCACCGCGGCAGCCCGAGTGTGTCGAGATGCCCTCAGGGAGGGAGCAGGGGGCCCTGTGAGGAAGGAAGCGGTGGTGCCCCTCAGTGAGGGGGCCAGTGGGATCAAGAATCCACCTCTTTCCTTCCCCTCACCCCAACTACTTGGCCAACACACACAAGGTGACAAAACTTACGATGCTGATGGGCAAAGAAGCCTTCGAAGATCACAAAGTTGTTGACCTATGAGATGAAACAAGTGAAATATATGTTGTTCATTCAGCCATTCACCACTACATGCGGACAGAACCTGGTCCCATAAAAACCACAGTGGAAGGAACAGAAGCCAGCCTTCCTGTCCTTGTTGACAAACTCAGTCAAAAACTCAGACCCTGATAAGCTGATTCTAAAAGTTGATATGGAATTATAAAGGACCTCAAATAGCCAAAACAATCTTGGGAGCATTCACACTTCCTGATTTCAAAACTTACAAGGTATCGCAATCAAAATGGTATGGAAGAGGCCTAAAGCTAGACATACAAACCAATGGCATGAATAGAGTCCAGAAATAAACCCAAATGTCTATGGTTAATTTTCAAGGGAGGGCCAATACGATTCAATGGGGGGAAAACAGCTTCTTTAACAAATGGTGCTTGGACAACTGAATATTCACATGCAAGATCATGAATGTGGACCTCTACCTCACATCAGACAAAAATAATTTCAACTGGGTCAAAAACCCTAAATGTTTTGGGTTTAAAAAATTTTTTTAAGTTTATTTATTTAAGTAATCTCTGCATCCAATGTGGGGCTCAAACTCACAATTTGGAGGACCAAGAGTCACATGCTCTTCAGACTGAGCCAGGCAGGCACCCCAAAGATCTGTCAAGAGCTAAAACTATGAAACTCTTAGAAGGAAACATGGGGGGGTGGTGCTTGGGTGGCTCAGTCAGTTGAGTGGCTGACTCTTGGTTTCGGCTCAGGTCATGATCTTAGGGTCATGAGATTGACCTCCACATCAGGCTCCGCAACCAACTAGGAGTCTGCTTAAGATTCTCTCCCTCTGCGCCCCCACCCAGCTCATGCACTCTCTCTAAAAAAAAAAAAAAAAAAAAAAGAAATGGGAAAATCTTCATGACTTGGATTAGGCAATCGTTTCTTAAATATGACACCAAAGCACAAGCAACAAAAGAAAAAAAAAGAAACTGGACTTTGCCAAAAGCAAAATCTTTTGTACTTCCAAAGACACGATCAAGAAAATGAAAAAACCCACAGAATAGGAAAAAATATTTGCAAATCATACATCTGTTCTATATCTAGAACATATAAAGAACAGTTACAACTCAAGAACAAAGAACACACTTTAAAAATAAACACAAGGAGGGTGCCTGCGTGGCTCAGTTGGTTAAGTATCTGGCTCTTGATTTCAGCTCAGGTCTTGATCTCGGGGTCATGAGTTCAAGCCCCGTGTTGGGCTCCAGGCTGGGTGTAGAGACTACTTAAAAAAAAAAAAAAATGGGCATAGCACTTGAATAAACATTTCTCTGGAGATATGCAAATGGCACTTGAAAAGATGCTGAACATCATTAGTCAACAAGGAGATGCAAATCAAAACTACAAAGAGATACCAGTGCATACCCGCTACCATAGCTAATTAAAATTAAAAAAAAAAAAAAGGTGGGGCGCCTGGGTGGCTCAGTCAATTAAGCTTCTGCCTTGGGTTCGCATTGTGATCCCAGGTCCTGGGATTGGCCCATGTCAGGCTCCCTGCTCTGCGGGAAGCCTGCTTCTCCCTCTCCCTCTGCCTGCCGCTCCCCCTGCTTGTGCTCTCTCTCTCTCTGTCAAGTGAATGAATAAAATCTTAAAAAAAAAAAAAAGGAAAATGACAAATGTTGGTGAGGATGTTGAGAAATTGGAATACTCGTACACTGCTAGTAGAGAATGTAAAATGTTGTAGTCATTGTGGAAAAAACATTGTGCCAGTTCCTCAAAAAGCTGAAGAATTACCATACGACCCAGTAATTCCACTCTTAGGTATATACCCAAGAAAACTGAAAAGATATGTGCAAACAAAATCTTACAAATATTCATCACCAAAACATGGAAACAACCAAATGTGAATCAGCTGATGAATGGATAAACAAAATGTAGTATATCCATATGACAGAATATTATTCACCCATAAAAAGGGATGTGGTACTAATACATGCTGCAACATGGATGAACCCTCTGAAAACATTATGGTAAGTGAAAGCCAAACAAATTGTAGGATTCCATTTATATAAAATGTGCAGAATAAGCAAATTGCCAGAGAGAGCAGATTACTGGTTGACAAAGGCTGGGGAAAGGGGTATGGGAAGTGACTGCTTAATGAGTTCTGGGTTTCTCTTTGTGTGATGGAAAAGTTTTGGAATTAGCACGGAAAATCAGACAACACTGTGAATATACTAAAAACCACTGAACTGTGTATTTTAGATAGTTAAAAGAGTGCATTTTATCTCAAAAACCAAAAGTCTGTACCCTACTTTTTAGTTCTCCCAGAACCCAGGCTAATGGAGACAGAACACACAAAACACCAGGGAAGAAGAGGCATCCAAAACTTTCAAAACAGAAGCTTAAACATACACACATATACACACCAGGCCAAACGGCTTAAGTATACAAATACTGAGAAAAACTAAGCTTTAAGTAGGGTTCAAATGGGTGGAACTGTCAAGGGAAGACATGCTGGAGAACAGGGTGCCACTTTGATAACTAGTAATTGACTTAGAGTGATTTCATTATATTATCATATTCAATTTGGGCTTCACAACAATCCTTGGAGTCCCTGCGTTAAAAGAGTAAAGGCTTGGAGACATGGCCTGCCCAAAGCCAAGTAACTAACAAGTGACAGAACTGGGCCTCAAGTCCCAGACTCTAGCTGTAGCAGTTCAGCCAGGAATAATACAGTGTAGTCATCAAGAGTGGGCAATGGGTTAATTGAATTTAAATTTAAAAAATAGCAATAAAGAAATAAATAGGGGTGCCTGGGTGGCTCAGTCTGTTAAGCGGCTGTCTTCGGCTCAGGTCATGATCCCAGGGTCCTGGGATCGAGCCCCGCATCGGGCTCCCTGCTCCGCAGGAAGCCTGCTTCTCCCTCTCCCCCCCCCCTGCTTGTATTCCCTCTCTCGCTGTGTCTCTCTCTGTCAAGTAAATAAAATCTTAAAAAAAAAAAAAAGAAATAAAATAATAAATAAAATGTTTAACATTTTTTAAAAAAAGAATGGCAATGGGTTCAAATTCTTGCTCTGCCACTTATTAGCCATGTGAACTTGGTCAAGTCACTAATCTGTATAAACCCCAAATGGAGTCAATAAAAATACCCACCTCAAAGAGATGTACAAGGATCAACTGAAATGATCCATGGAGCTAGCACACAGAGCTCATGAATCATTGTTTACATGATTATTTATACTCTATAATGTTTTGGTCTTATAGGTTACCCGGCTATGCCTAATACTTTGCTCCTTCCACTGCTCTCCACTGCCTCTTAATGGAACAATGTACTAGGGAAGGACATTCTAAATATAAATAGATCCTGCCTGTTTCCTGCCTTGACCCTGTCCAGCCACCCACCCTCCTCCAGAAACAAGCACATGCCCAGCGCTCCTGCCACACCAAACTGCCTGCAGTACCCCAGAAGATAATTGAATACCTATCTGCTTTTGCTCATGCTGGTTCCTGTATATGAAATGCACTTTAGCCTGCCCACCTGCCCACTATCCCCATGACATTCACCTTTCAAGATTAAGCTTAAGTCAAGCCTTCCTTTACCCAATCCCCACCCCAAGGGTAGCACTCACCACGTCTTTATGCCTCCTTTGTAAGCACATCAATCAAATCATATTACAGCGGATTAAGTGTCCATGCTCTGAATCCAAGGCAAACTTGTCAACCCAATCCCAACCCCTCCTTTCCATGACATTGCTTCAGCAATTCTCCTCACGTTCTCTGACATCATCACATTTTCTCTCTACCGAGTCATTCTTATGCTGTTGGTTCTTCCAACTGAAAACAATCAACCCTTTCTCGATCCCTTTTCCCCTCTAGCTCTTGTCTGTTTCTTTGTTCCCGTTAAAGCTGCATATTTTTTTTTTTTTTTTTTAAGATTTACTTATCTGAAAGGGGAATCCGGGTGGCTCAGCCAGTTAAACATCTGCCTTTGGTTCAGGTCATGATCCCGGAGTTCTCGGATCAAGTCCTACATTGGGCTCCCTGCTGGGCAGGGAACCTGCTTCTCCCTCTGCCCCTCACCCCGCTCGTGCGCTCACGCTCTCTCTCAAATAATAAATAAAATCTTAAAAAAAAAAAAAGATTCACTTATTTGAGAGAGAATGAGCTTGCAGAGCGAGTGGGGGGAGGGGCAGAGGGAGAGGGAGAGAAATCCTCAAGCCGACTCCCCGTTGAGCATGGAGCCAGACAGACACTGGGCTCAATCCCAGGACCCTGAAGATCATGACCTGACCTGAAATCACGAGTCAGACACTTCACCAACTGAGCCACCCAAGTGCCCCCATTAAATCAGCATTTAAAAGACTGGCCTATTCTCGTTATCTCCACTTCCTAGCTTCCCCATTTCCTAAAGCCCAATCCATTCAGACTTCCACCCACCACTGCAGAGAAAAGGCTGGTTAGGATCACCAGTGATCTCAGGTAACTAAATACAATGGTCACCTCTCAGGCCTCTTCTGAACTCACTGATCAGCAGTATTTTACTCAGTAAGCCACTTCTGTCTCCTGGAAACACCTTCTTCACTGGCCTTCCAGGGCACCCTACCTAAAAATTTTCATCTAATTCACTAGTGCTGTTCTCCTGCTCCATGACACCTCTTAAAAGAGTACTGGGTGGCTCAGTCGTTAAGCGTCTGCCTTCGGCTCAGGTCATGATTCCAGGGTCCTGGGTTCGAGCCCCGCACTGGGCTCCCTGCTCAGCGGGAAGCCTGCTTCTCCCTCTCCCATTACCCCTGCTTGTGTTCCCTCTCTTGCTGTGTCTCTGTCAAATAAATAAATAAAATCTAAAAAAAAAAAAGAGTACTCAAGGGCTCAAGTCCTTGAACCATTTCTCTTTCTCTATACTCACTCCTTGGTGACCTCATCTGCCTCACTGCTTTCAATACCCTATGTATGCAGAGACCTTTCTATTCCAAACCTCTTCTCTTTTTAAATTCCAGAGAAGTACCCAACTGTCTACTCAACCTAGGATTAACAAAATCAAAGTGGACTCCTACTATACCTTTCCAAGGCTGCTCCACCTACCATCTCAGTTACATAAACTTCATCTGTCCAATGGCTCAGGCTGAGTTTGGGATCATCCTTCACTCCTTCTTTCTCTTTCTCCACAGATAATCTACCAGGAAATCTTATTTACTTTAACTTCAAAATATTTAAAATCTGACCACCCTTTACCCTCTCTACTGCTACCATCTTGGTTTGAGCCACCACCATTTTTCATCAGGATTGTTGCCTTCTAACTGGTCTACTTGCTTCTATCCTTAATAGCCAAAGTGGTCTGGCTAAAAGTATGATGATATCATCCCTCTGCTCAAACACCCACTATGACTCTCCCCTTCCACTCAGAGCATAAGCCAAAGCCTTTACAATAACCTGTAAGGTTGGAAATATTATTCCTCCCCTGCTGCTGCCTGATCTAATCTACACACTCCCCTTCACTCCTGCGGCTGTAGCCACACCAGCCAATTCACTTGCTCAGGCACATTCCTATCTCATGGAGTTTGCATGAGCTATTCCTTTTGCCTGGGATGCCCTCTCTGCACTCTCCATTATCTGACTCACAACCCCATGCACTCCCATCCCCACGGCGGTGCTCGCAAGCCTTCTTAGTGGCTCTCATCTTTCCAGAGCACGTATCATCAACCATACTACATAGTCATATATTATGTTTGTCTCACCAACTAGGATATAAGCTCCACAAGGGCAGAAACTTTTATCTGTTTTGTCAAGTATTCCTAGTGTCCAGAACAGTGTCAAGTGCTCAATAAATACTTGCTAAATGAATGGATAGCATTAGTGACATTATACCGTATTTACTTACACACTAACCACATTCTCCATATAAAGCCAAAGCTCCCAAAGGATAAGAAATATATACTTTTCTGGGCCTTAATAAACAGTGAGTAAAGGCCTCTGTAAAAACAAGGAGGTGCAAATGAGCTGGCTATGTTTGGGACACAAACATATTACTGGGTATACAGAACAGCAAAAAATTAAAACAGATGACAATGAATAGCTGCAGAATGAAAGATGTTACCACAAAAAAAGGGGGAAAAAAAAAGGAAGAGCTTAACTGTATGAAATGAATCCTATACAATGGGGAATAAGAAGTGCTTGGAAGATGCCACTTCTTTGCTGAGCATTAGTAAGGATCAGTAAGGATCTACCCTCTGAAACCTCTAACCTGTGGAACTGTGGTCTCCAGGTTGTAATGTTTATTCAGGAACTTAAGCAGCTTCGGTGAGGGTCGGTCAATGGCCAGTTGGTGTGGTTCAACTCGCTCCTTCTGCAGGGAACAGGAGACTCAGGGTAGGAGAAGGTGGGGGGAGAGCATGCCAACAGGAACCCAGCAGCCTGGGAAGGGAATAGGAGGATATGGGAACATGGCAGGCAGGAGGGTGGAAGGCAGGGCCTCTGGAAGGGCTCAGCGCAAAGGGGCCTTTGGTCTCTATTTTGGATGGACTGGTGAAAAGATAAGTGACACCTGCAACATATAGTGGAAGAGTTCTCGCCCATGGCCATGGCGCTGAAGTGATTCATGGATGTAAAAGTCTAGAATGCACAGTGGTTCTACCTCATTGTGAGCCTCACGATCATCCTACGAGGTAAAGAAAAACAAGTACCTTTTAGGACCCAGACATCGTTGCCGCCTCCCAACTCCCAGCACTTTTATTCTCAGAAGCCAAGGCATGTGAACTCTCAGCTTCCAGTAACACTCACCAGTACAAAGAGTTTCTTGTATCCAACTTTAAGGAAGCCGATAACGGCTCCTTTTCCAGCCCTGTAGGATGGGGAAAAATAATAAAACAAGCTAGTAGCAACTATTTGTAAGGGAGAGTCAAAAAAGGAAGAGGGGTTAGGGGAAGAAGGAATCAAGTATGGGATGGAAGGGCATTTGGCACTCACGGTCGCGCTGAAGTGTCTTTGAGCACATACATGACATGGCGGTTACTCTGCATCCTTGATGCACTGGTGATGGGAGCAGGAAGATGCTGGGCCTGCCGGGAAGATAGACAGACTTTCTGCAAGTCCATTTCAAAGGACCTATGCCTCCCTTATCTACTGGCCCCAGAGAGCCCCTCCATCTAAAGACTCCCCAGTACCTTGGCAGAAGCCTTGCCCAGTTCATCTACAATGGTCATAATTTGCTGCTGCAGATCAACACTACAGAAAAAAAGAAACAAAGAGTCAGATACTCACTGAATTAGAGGGTCCCGGGAACCTTGGCCACAAGCTCAACCCAGGTTCAGCCCTTAAGACTCTCTGACCTTACCTTGGAGACCTCTGATCTGATTTTCCACCCCACCATTCTGTAACCCAAACTTCTGCCACACCTCTTTTCAATACATTACACTCCCCCCTCCCTGAGGTTATTGTGGGGAAGCAGGAAGGGCGGGTCAACCACATCCTTTGGTTAGAACAAATCAGGCCAAGGAGTGAAAGGTCACAGATGCAAGTGCCCATCAACTCCACTAGGTCTAGGGTCAAAGGTCACCAGAAGGGCGAGCCAGAGCAACAAAAGGAGAGGTCACTAGTCGGTGAGAAGGGGGCGTGGTGCCTGGACCAGGTTTTTGAGAAGAACAAGGAGATAAGGGCCTTGGGGCGGGTTTGAGATGTCACCGGGCCGGCGTTGTGGTTCCGGGTCGGCGGGCTGGGGGTCGCAGGTGCTGATCCAGCACCGTGATCCGCTCCGGGAGCAGCGCATCCACATCGAACGAGAACTCCATGGCCCATTGTGCGTGGATGGACCCGCCCCGTGCCACGTCACTTCCGCCCCTCCCTGAAAGGCGGAGGTTGGGGGACGGAGAGGAAGCCCTTCAGGGAGCCTTTATTTCCCCGCTATGCAGGAGGGGCTCAGGACCCGCCCCTAGGGGGCCGCCCCACCCCCCGCCCATCCCCCCTCATCGCCCCCACCCCTCCTCCTCCCCTAACTCCCGCCAGGCCAGTCCCTTAACGCCACGCCCCCGCCCCCGCCCCCCACCCCGCGGGTGCCATAGCAACGCATTTTTCCTAGCCTACTGTCCCATTCTCCAGCCCTTTCAACTGCCCCTCCCCACACCCCCGCCCCAATCAGGAAACTGCTAGGTATGGTGAGGACACTGCCACTGCCTTGGGCACAGGAGGCCAGAAAGGTGATCCTGACATAATGGCCCAGCTGCTCGTATCTGGTGGCTTCTGGTCCCGACAATCACTGGCCAGTCTGGCTCAAGCATGACCACTCCTCTCCCCACGGCAGCACCCATTCCCCAACTGCCCCACCCCCGACACAAATGGCATTAATCTTGGAAACTCAGCCCAGAAACAGGAGATACAGCTTTATTGTGGAAAAGCCAAGTTAGCAGAAACCTGAAGCAAGTACAGAATGTTTATAGCCTGTCTACTATTCACAACATATAGGGTTTGGGGTTTCCCATACACATCTGTCCTGCCCTCCCCTAAGCCTCAGAAGCATTTATTCCCTTCAAAAGCAATCATTACTTCTCTCTCGCCCTGGGCCTGCCATTGGCCACATACAGACACAACTCTTCAGAGTGAAATCCCATCATGTAATTCCTAGGCACTATCTTTTTTTTTAAGATTTTATTTATTTATTGACAGAGAGATAGTGAGAGCAGGAACACAAGCAAGGGGAGTGGGAGAGGGAGAAGCAGGCCTCCTGCCGAGCAGGGAGCCCAATGCAGGGCTTGACGCAGGGCTCGATGCAGGGCTCGATCCGAGGACCCTGGGATCATAACCTGAGCCGAAGGCAGATGCTTAACGACTGAGCCACCCAGGCGCCCCACTAGGCACTATCTGTTAATTCCTTCCCAGTCTACAGCTCCTACAGAGCACTCTGGGGCTTCTCCAGTTCAGTGGAGGAGGCTTCAGCTGGGGTTGTGGGCAGCACCTCAGGCATTGACTCAGGTGGGGGACCACTCTCTTCTCGGAGATGTCCCTGATAGAGTCGTCGAAGGCGGGACAGCTCTCTCTCTGGTGGCTGTTTCCAGCCATACCATGGATACCAGGGGTCACCTGCAACCAGGGTGGGGGCTGGTGGAGTAGCACTCACAGCTCCATGAGAGGTACTGAAGTCAAGGTCCCGAGGTTCAACCTGAGGAATGTGGTAACTGAGGAGACCTAGGGAATTAAAAAAAAGAGAGAAAGTGAGGGAAGAAAGCAAGGAAGGGTAGTTTGGGTTAAGACAATATGTAAAATGACATATAAAGGGAGGGAGGAACCAGTCAGAACCACTGAGTATATTTATGCATGTTCTACACTGCACAAAGGCAACTAGCCAAGGGGGCAATGTGGACTGACATACTGCTGGGGCTCTAGTCTGCCAAGCTGCGCAGCCCTGCCCCAGGGCTACAAGCTGCATCTGCCCTAGCAGAGGCATACCTTTTTTAATTTCTGCAAAGGTGTCATGGAGCCCAGGGCCAGAAATTTATACAAAGATCTCCCATGATCTGTCTCTGGCATTGGGACTGATAGTTATAAAAGGGAAGAAAAAGGACAGAGGATTATGGGAACAGGGCAATGACAAGGTAAGAGACTCAGGAAAGAGAAAAAGGGACAGTGGAGTACTGAAAGGAGATTTGGATGCCACCTCCTCAGACACGCAGGAGTATTTATATCCACCTCCAGCCCTAAATCACCTTCATTATGGCTAAGAAAAATGCACTGGGCCCCTTCTCATGCTCACCATGATCTCTGGCTTTCTGGATGGCCTGGGTCAACTTCTTATGTTGCTTCATACAGACCCCTGTAGGGAGAAAAAGAAAACTCCGTGCTCATTCTACACTTGATCTTAGCCAAAAGGCCGAGAAGCAATACTCAGTGCTCATTCTAGAAAGCACAGTAAACAGAGTATGCAACTGCTTCTATATGGTTATAAAGAGCTGGGTTTGGAAAACTTGCTCTACCTAATAATCCTAGTTCTCTGACCCTTTGATTGGCCTGTTTCCCCATCTACCCAATGAGAAGAATCCCCCCTCTCTGAGAGCTGAGATTAAGACCTTAGGAGGGTCTAGGGGTGCCTGGGTGGCTCAGTTGTTAAGCATCTGCCTTTGGCTCGGGTCATGACCTTGAGGTCCTGGGATCGAGCCCCACATTGGGCTCCCTGCTCCCTGGGGAGCCTGCTTCTCCCTCTCCCGCTCCCCTTGCTTGTGTTCCCCCTCTCGCTATATCTCTGTCAAATAAATAAAATTAAAAAAAAAAAAAAAAAGACTTTAGGAGGGTCTAGCCACTACAGAAAAGCTATTTAATGGTAAAACCTCCAAGACAGAAAGCAGAAAACAATTCAAAGGACAAGTGTGGTTAATTAAAGGTTTGGGTTGAACAATCCATCGAGAAAGATTCAGTAAAGGAAGAAAGGGCTCCCGATCTGGAGAAGGTGATCTGAGAGAGTAGGAAAATAGTTCCTTTAGCTTTTTATAGCTTTACTATAAAGCATTTTTTTTTTAAAGATTTCATTTATTTATTTAAGACAGAGAGTGAGAGAGAGAGCACATGAGAGGGGGGAGGGTCAGAGGGAGAAGCAGACTCCCTGCTGAGCAGGGAGCCCGATGTGGGACTCGATCCTGGGACTCCAGGATCATGACCCAAGCCGAAGGCTGTCGCCCAACCGAGCCACCCAGGCGCCCAAAGCATTTTTTTTTTTTTAAAGATTTTAGTTATCAGAGAGAGAGCGTGCACAAGCAGGGGGAGCTGCAGAGAGAGAGGGAGATCTCTCCCCACTGAGCAAGGAGCCTGACATGGGGCTCAATCCCAGGACCCTGGGATCGTGATCTGAGCCGAAGACAGACACTTAACCGCCTGAGCCACCCAGGCATCCCGGCTATAAAGGTCTTCTTCAAAACTCCCTGACAAACCAAACTCCACTGATCATGCTGCCATCCCCAAAATAGTGGGTTCAGATTATTCTTTGCAAATTTATCCTGCTTTAGAGCAGGGGTTGGCAAAATTTTTCTGTGTAGGGCCACATAAATTTTAGGATCTGCAAGTCCTACGGTCTCTGTCTCAGCTACTCAACTCTGCCATTGTAGCCTGGAAGCCGTTACAGACATATGAAAATAAATGGACATGGCGGTGTGCCAGATTTGGCCTGTGGCCTTCATTAAGGAATAGATGTAATCTTGAATTGTTAGGATTGTAACTCCAAATATGGAAGATCTAATTGGATTGTCGATGGCAAAAAGAACTTACAGGACAGTCAATTTGCTAGAAAGCCTTTTGCAAGAGCAAACAGACCCTACTAAAAGGAAATAATTACCACCACTTCTAACAGCTACATTTAGATAACTTACTTACATTGGTACTTTGCTTGTACCTTTTGTCCATATGTGAATATATCCATTAAGGCAAGATTTCCAAAAAAAGTTCATTCACACTTTTTATGCCTTACCTAACAGCCACCAGATAACTGTTGTATGACTGAATAAATGAGGAGTGCTCCAAGGAAAAACTATTCTGGTGGTGACAAGGACGATAGACTAACCTGTATATGGAGCATGGAAGATGATACCTGTGTGGGCGCAGACAAACTGTTCTAAGAGCTTCACGTTCTGTGGAGGAAAGTGGTGGGGAAATATAAGAGAGGGCAGGGAGAGCAGCAAGACCTTGAGATCCTAGAAGTGCACAATCCCTACACGTGTGCATGGATGCCCTTAACTCCTCTGCGTCTCTTCAGGTGCTACCCTCCTTCAAGTCCCCAGTTTTAGCCCCATCAATTTGCTGAATACATTCTTGAAGACTCCAGCAAACATTTCCTCTTTCTTGGCCTTGCAACCATTTCACATGCACCCCCTATATTCTGTCACTGACACTCACATAGAACCCTCTTCTACAGGGATTAGGTTCTAAAATCAGCCCTTCGTGCAAAAAATTGGGAAGAGTCAGTTGGCAATCCCTGAAATCACATAAGAAAATACAGTATGTGCTTATAACGTGCATATATAAATATGAATGTATACGATAGTATGCTATACGTAACATATACATCACTAACGTCGATTTTAGAGGTCTAATTATGCAGAATGACTATCAGCCAGCAGGTTAATCACAGGAGATGACACCCATGAAAAAAGTAGATGCCCCTGTGGAGTGAAAGAGCAAGCAGAATCATACGCACTATTCAATTTATAATCTTTCTTCCTCGGTCATATAATTGATTCTAAACTGTATACAACTGGTTATGATCTATTTTTTTTCTTAAAGATTTATTTATTTGAGAGGGTGTATGTGTGAGTGAATAAGGGGGAGGGGCAGAGGGAGAGGGAGAGAATCTCAGGCAGACTCCCCGCTGAGCATGGAGCCTGATGAGGGGCTCACACTCACAACCCTTGAGATCATGACCTAAGACGAAATCAAGAGTTGGACATTCAACAGACTGAGCCACCCAGGTGCCCCTGTTCTATTTTTATAACCAATCATACACAGTTGAAATGAAGACGTTATCTATCTATGGGACCCTTGTACAGTGGTGTCAGAAGGCACCTGAGAGCAGTGAGACACCCCAATCTGCTGACGGATATATGAATTCCTTCCAACTCCCCTGATGACCAATCATTCAGCTTCTGCTCCAATACCTTTACTGCAAGCTCAGAAGAGCATTTTTCCCACTATTATTTTTACATGCTTTTTGAACTCTTAAGGAGCAAGTCCTGCCCGTCCTTGCAATAAACGCTTTTTTGAAAAATAAGCTCTGTATCTGGCTTCATGTATCTGCCCTCCAGCCTTAAATCTTGGCATGCCACCAAACATCAACACGACAAAAATTAAAAAAAAACAAAAACAACGACAACAACAAAACCTCAGGGGTGCCTGGTGGCTCAATCTGTTAGCATCTGCCTCCGGTTCGGGTCATGATCCTGGGGTCCTGGGATCAAGCCCCACATTGGGCTCCCTGCTTGTCGGGGAGTCTGCTTCTCCCTCTCCCTCTGCTCCTCTCCCGCTCGTGCTCTCTCTCCCTCACTCTCTCTCAAAAAAAAAAAAAAAAAAAACCCTCAGGAAAAAACTAACCCAATCTACTTGCTAATAATTGCAAATGGATATAAATGAACCTTTGGATATTGCTCTCCCATTAGAAATAGACATTTTTCTGGCCACGCAATTTAGACTGTAAATTTCATAGGTAAAAAATGAAGATTTTTAGTATGAGCCACAGTGGAGGACAAAAAGCTGGAAAGAGGAATGTTTTTATATTACTAGAAAGTCAATGCAAAATGGACTGCAGGGGTGCTAAACTAATTTATGAAGAAGAATGGGGCACCCATGGTAATCTCTTTAGCACTACAAAGAGGCTCCAAATCCTTATCCTGGAGAAAAGACTGTCCTTACCCTAAAGTCAACATGCAGCTTGTGATCCCGGCAGATGGGGCAGGGATTCCCAGCAACTTTATCTCTACGCTGTGGAAAGAAAAAACTAGGAGGTGAAGGATGTTCAAAGTCCTGTGAGAAAAAGTGCTACTGCCATTGTCACTATGGCGTCCACCCCCACTCCACATCCCATCCACGTACCACCTTCAGAAACTCACAATACATGTCTTTCGAGTTCGCTGTGGGGGTATTCCACCTTTGTGGTTTCTACGGTAGTCAGCCCAGACGGGGCGAGAGCCATAGCGGTTCTGGTATTCTGAAAGACCACATAAGTTATTCCTGGTGGGGACAGTAGAAGTGTCTCTGTCCATTTATTTCAGATTCCACATGATCCTCCCCTTTCCCATTCAGCGGTACCTTCTGAGTCCAGATATTTCCAGGGTTCATTCTTATAAGGGGTTATGGGAACTGGGGACAAAGAATCTTCCTCAGGGGGGCCTTTGGTGCAAAGAGTCTGGAGGGGAACCTATAAAGGCAAAAAATGAGAAGAGGAGTTCAAGGAAAGGACCTGATAGTTTCACTGCCCGTATGTTAGAGACAAGAACATGCCCATTGTATTAATGGAATATAGTAGGAATACATATAGAAAGTAGCATTTTTCTTAGGGTTAGGGTAAAACTTAGATCAACAACCACTCTTCCTGTCTCTGAGTGGATCCTGAAGGAAAAGCTAATGTGAGAGGGTAACTAGGATAGGTGACTGGGAAGCAGTCTTTTTTCTTTTTTTTTTTTTAAGATTTTATTTAATTTTGACAGAGTGCACAAGCAGGGGAAGCAGCAGGCAGAGGGAGAGGGAGAGGGAGAAGCAGGCTCCCTGCTCAGCAGGGAGCCCGATGCGGGGCTCGATCCCAGGGCCCTGGGACCATGACCCAAGCCAAAGGCAGACGCTTAACCATCTGAGCCACCCAGGCGCCCCAGGTGACTGGGAAGCAGCCTTATTTGAGAAGACACACATGATGTGTTCGTGCTTTTGAAGATGTACTAAGAAAAGGGAGAAGAAAGGAATAGGGAGGGTGTCTAGCTTCTTGGAAGGAAGATGTCTGGTGGGGAGAGGATGCATGACAGGTGAGTCTCCAACCCAATCCAACCCTGAATCATTGAACTGCCCAGCCTTACAAAAGTTGAAGGTCAACATTCCACAGGTCAGAACAAACTTGAGTCCTAATGCTAGCTTTAAAGCTACCAGGGCTGTTATTAACTCTGTAGTGACCCCTGTCACCACTGTTAGGGAGTGGCAGCTGTGAAAGCTTTCCTAGCTCACCGTGCTCCCCCAAGAACCTACCCTGCCCTACCAAGAACCTCCAGTGTGGTGAGTACATGAGGCTGGAGAGAAATCTCAATCTAAAGGACTAAGTTAAGGTCTCATGTATGCTCTGATTAAAAAAAAAACTAATTTAGTGACAGAAGGAGAGCTAAGAAACTGGTCCCCAGGTCGTGAGAACATATCCTGGCTTTACCGGGAGATAGCTCAGCAGGTAGAAGTTAGTGTCCCTCAACTCAAGGACACTCCAGGGCAGCACAGATTTAGACATTACATGCATACTTAAGAGCTGGTTGTGTACGACCAAGAGGCCCAATCCTTCACCTAATTCTTTAGCCGAGTGGGTAGCTTGGAAAAGGATATCTAACTCTTTTCCCTTGGCCGGGGATTAAAAATCCGCGCAGTATTGAGGAGGATGAGGGGAAGGGAAAGGGTGGCGGAAGCAGTGTTGCCTAGACAGCCAATGCATAATAAGCACTTGGGAAAGTCTCCGCTCCTGGATTCCCAGCAATGGAGCGATGACCTAGAGAAAGTATAACTAAGTGGCGGTTGTACAAAATGTGCTCCAAGGAGTTACCTGAACTCCGTAGGCACCTCTGAAGAGTGAAAAGCTAGGAACGCGCCTCAGCAATGAACGCAATACGGAGGCCGCCATCTTGACGTGCGCCCAAGACAGGAAAGACCGGAAAGGCAGTTGCGCATGCTCCAAGAAACTGGCTAGGGTGGGCCAAGGGCGAGCCCGCAGTGCGGGAGGAGGCCGCGCACTTGCGTCAGTACGGAAGCGTAAAGGGGGGGGGGGCTGTGGGGAGAGGCCAATTTCAACTGCGTCACAATCGAATTCGGCCTCAAAATTAAGTTTTTCTCGAACCAGTCACTACGACTTCTAGATCTCATACTTAGAGCTTGCGTTTTAAGCAATTTTGAAGGGGATTTCTACCGACATCTTCTGAATGCGCATGCGCTAGCCCGGTTCTACCAACCAGGGTGAGAAGTGTTCTCGAGGACGGAAGTGGTGGAAGCAGAGGAAAGGGAGGTGCTGGGCTCTTCGGTCACGCGCTTGTCGGGGGGGGGCCAGAAGGAGGCGGAAGAAGGTACTAGGGGGAAGGGGCTGAGCGAAGGTGAAGGAAGGATAGCCAATCATCTAGCGAGTTGTCTTTCGGGTTGGCCAATGAATTCACGCCTCGCGCACAATGTCTCGCGACAAGGGCGTTTCACTAGCATGTTTGGGCGCGTTGGGCGGCGTCTGGGTATAAAAGACTCCGCCCGAGCAGGCAGCCGCCATTCTGGGGTTCGTTTAGAGGTAAGTTTGGGTGTTTTGTTGGTTGGAGGGTAAAGTTGTGTTAAGATCGTTGGACTGGGGCACGGGTTAGGCGTGGGTTCTGTTAAGACCATGGCTTATAGAAGGCGGCTGTGTTCGGGATGGGACATGGAGGTGTTCGGAGACAACAAATATGGTACTTAGGGTGTTTAAAGCAACCCGTATTGATTACATCTTTCTCCCTTGTGTTCCTTTTATCCCAGGTTTGAATTTTCTCGGAGAAAGACAGGCCGGCCACGAGGAAAAAAAAGAAACAAGCCGCAGCACCATCTAAGCCCTTGAAAGGATCCTGAGAGGGGGGAAAGGGAAAACAGCAGCCACCAGCCCAACCACTTGTGTCTTCTGCCCCTTCCCACCTATCTTGCCCACCCCACCAGCCCACGCTGCATGGGACTTGAAATCTGTGGCCGAAGGACCGTCACCACATAACTTCAAAAATAATCAACCACCCACCCATCCCAAACCCACCCAAATTCACTCATCCAGCGTTTACTTTTTTGAATCCACTCAGAACTTTTTTTCTACGACCCCCCTCCCTAAATGGAGTTGGGTGGGGGGAAAATGAATACTGAGTTGGCCTTCATTTTTTTAAGAGACTTTTTGATCCAATGAGGCCCCCCAAATAATTGAGTTTTGGGTCCTGGTTGGTTGTTTTATTTTTTTTCTCCAAAATTTTAACCCCCTCCCCCCCTGAGCCCGAGGTGCTGACGTCGCAAAAAAATTGGATAGTAAGTGTCGAATTTTCCAAAACCAGCCTTGCAACAAGAAATCAACGTTTCCCGTTGTGAAACCAAAAATAATGAGAGGAAGAAATGAGCCAATAGAACAAAATAGAACTGGAGAAGGACCAAGCCGGTCACTTAATCTCCATTAAAAAAGGGCCTTTGGTCTTAAAACAGTCTTGTTCTCTCTCCCCTACCACCTACCTTCCTGCCCTGCTGCAGGAAAGGAAAGGGTGGAGGGAGGGCCAGCAAGTGAGGATTTTGATGGTTAACCCTTCGTAATCCAGCCAATTTCCAGACTGCCAAAGCCATAAGTGTTTGCTTTTTATAAGGAGGAATGGTTAACTTCCTCTTGTTAGCAGTCTTCAAAAGGGTTAATGAGCTCACATACAAAAGATGGTGGATCTTGTGGCCCAGAAGTCCCACTTCTTTGTGTGTGAGACAAGCAGGGCGCCTTTCAATTTGCCAGATTAATAAGCAATCTGTACATAAAGATTGCAGGGTAAGGAGATGGGCAGAGAAATAGTAGCTGGCTATGACTTTTTAAATGATTGTTAAATCCTCTCAATTTTAATGTAATTTGCTTGGGGTATATTTGTGTGGTTAAAATAGGTGGCAATCTAGGAATAAAGATTGCAAGACACTTTATTCAGTACAAAATATAATCTTAGTGCCAGTACATACAAGATAATGGGGAGGTAAAGAATGTTTTGTAATTGTTGCAGGTTGCATAGGTTATTTAAGAGCAAAAATGATTAACATTTTAACTTGATACGTTTTGGTGGGTGGTAATACAGTCTGATAGGGGGTGGAAAGGTTGGGAAATGTGGAATTCAGGAGTATAATTTTAAAAGCCATTTAGTGCAATTGAATGCTAGCTTTCTAAAAGATTTGTGTCGTTAAAAGGAATTTTTTTCTTCCCTGCTTCAATATGGCGACTTTTCCTTGTCCTTTTGTCTTCCAAGCGGCGTTGCAGGTTGTGTCTTGGCCCATTTTTCTCCTGTCCTCCCACCTCAACCCTATTTGTTGAGAGGGGTCCAAATCCTCCCCCCTTTCCCTTTATAGGGAGGATGGGGGTGGTCGATGGTAGCAGGTTGAACCTCAATTGCAAATTCAATTCTTCCCCGCAGAAAGTTGTTCTTTTAAATATTTTAATTGGTTTTATTTTCACAACTCTCTTACTCAAATTAGGTCAAAGACCATTCAGGATGGGTGCTGGTTTGGGATATTTTACTGAAAAGGGGTGTTTTTTTGATGTAACTAGCTGCCGGCAGTCCCGGGATAGCTTTTTTTAAGTTTTCCTCTTCTCCATTACAAAATGGCGTCGTCCCTGCTTCTTTGTTGTTTTTTTCTACCCCTTTTGCCATCCCGAGCTTAGGGCCGCCCTAGAAACTTGGTCAAGGGGGAGGAGCAGCATGGAAAGGTGATGTAATCAGCTTTCTTCCTCTCCACCCTCTTGAAACTCCACCCCTGAGCAGATGCTTTCTGGCCTCCTGTGCACGCTGCTGCTAGACAGGAAAAGACCTTTTCTTTAGAATATCTTTTATAATCTTAAAGGGAAAAAGCTTATAGGAATTAGGTCTTGAAGTTGTCCATCTCCTGGGCAGCTCTAGTTTTTATATTTAACAATCAGCCTGTTGCTTTTAATTTCACCTTCCTTCACTCATCACAACTGCTTGGAAGTTTTCCCCGCTTCAGTTGCCAGGGGTGGAAAACCAGTCAAACCAACTATACTTTAAGACTGGGAGCCTTCTGGTGTGTGTGTGTGTGTGTGTGTGTGTGAGCTGTGTGTGTGTGGATCTGTGCGGTGGGGGATAGTGGGGAAAGGAGGACTTGTGAAAGTGACTTGAATAGACAAATGGGGCCTAATGACACTGAATGCCATTGCTGCTCAGGAACTAGTCCTTGGGCCTGCATTTGGTCGCTTTGTATAATGAGACTGGGGGAGGGTGGGTACTTCAGGACTTCCTTTTAAATCACCCTTATTCCCACCTCTGGGTTTGGGGATAAACTCTTTGTGTTCAGTGCTGTATCACGTTCTCCAGTTGCGTAGCTCCTCTACATTGGTACTAGGATGAGAAGTGAATAGGAAAGGAGGCGGCAGTTGTAAACTCAAGGCAGGGGGATGCGAGCTACGGTGTCTGGTAAGCAAAACCTTTCTGGTATTACATTTCACAACCTTCATTTCTTTTTTCCAAAGAACCACCTTTTTTGAATTTCTTTTTCCTTCCCTTTAGAAAGAAATTCTTTTAAAAACATTAATGGGAGAATAATAATGTCTTCATTTTTTAACTCGTGCAGTGCTTTTGCAGTGGGTGCATGTTCAAGCCATGCCCAATCTGAGGGTGGTATTGGGTGTCCTGTCCCTTCTCTATCTTCCTCCAACTTTTTCAAAGTCAAATCTTTGTCAGACTCTCCATATACTTTTCATTTTTTAAAGTCCTGATTTGAAGTGTGGAGGTTCTAGGCAGAATTGGAAAGCCATTTTGTACAGCTGTCCTTTGGTGACTTGGTGAGACTTCAGGGCTAATTTTCTGCTGGGTATGGATTCTCAAATTAGTACTTCTGGATTGGGTGGGAGGGACTCTTCTACATGTCTACTGACCGCAAGTTTTTTATCTTTTAAGCAGTTTGCCATGTGCCTCTGCAGCATACCTTCCTTGGGAGCTGACTGTTCCACCCATTGGGGTTCCTGATCTCTAGTGAACAGGGGATTAATAAGATCTTCCTTAACATGGGAGATGGGGAAACAAGGTCTTCTAGGGAAACCACATCCATCCAGAGAACCTCGGAGAACCTGATCCTTGTAGTTTGTGGCCAGTTAAATTCTGGGATCTTTCGCTGGGGCTGGGGCGGGGGGTGGTGATTGTACATTCTCACTGAGAGGCAGATAAGGTTTTGGGGAGATCACTGTACCAGGTTTTCAAAATGAGTTTGAGGGCTAGGGGCTTACTCCTTAGGAGAGGTAAGACCTCGTGCATCACCTGAGATCTAATTCAGTCCACTGAGTGATATTAGGACATAACCTCAAACACCCAAGAAAAGGAAGTGGAATGTCAGGGGTCAGGTACAAAGCATTTTCATTTCCCGAAGTGCTAAGGCTTCTAAGTTAAGGTAAATTCAGACTCCTTCCTCCTTTGTTACAAGAGTGTTAATGATTGTTTTTAAAAAGGGCTCTGATTTGCATAGGGATTTTGTCCTGAACCAATTAAGTTCTTTTTTCTTGGTGATGGGTATGGATGACCAAGCTAGATGTTTTTCACCCTGTTAATTTAATAACCCTCAAGTAAAACTCATTTCAGAGGCAGGAGTTGGTGTCACTTAAGAACTTTTTAAGTTTCTCTCTGGTAAGAAATGTAGAAAATTCCCCAGTGCCTTGTGTGTGTCAGTAGTGCTCATCTCTACAAAATCCTCCATGAAAAGGAACGCACAGCTTAGGACGAGCTGGAGATAAGGCTGGGGTGGTTCCCCTCCCTCCCGCCCCTTCTGTATGTTCTGTCTTCAAGGAAATTAAAAGCAAACATACCATGCCCTAGATTATTTTTGCTTCCAGAAAGCTTCCTTAAGCATTCGTTCCAGGCTCCAGATAGCACTAGGTAATGTTGACACTTGGTTACTGCCCCTCCTTCCTGGTCAACTCTGCCTTTTCCACTGTAGGCCTGTGCCAGGAATTTAGGCTCTTCATTCCTTTCCACTTGAGTGCCTTGTAGCTTCTTTCAAAATGTACTGGCTGCGAAGTAAG